TTGACATTTTCAAATGTTAATCCAACCAGTATCAGTAGAAATTGGTACACCAGACCAACACCTCCTGATAGTAAGAGTTGATTGCAAATCTGTAAAATATGTTTTGAAAAATGATGTACAAAACATTGCTAGTAAGCAGATTTTTGCCAGATGACAGTCTATTTTAAGTATTTTCGATTTTGATATCGAATATATTAAAGACAGTAATAACTGCATACCTGATTTCCTAACCCGTGAATTTTTGCAGGAACATCTTGGCGAACAGGAAAATTAGTAAGGCTAGTACCTCTTCCAAAACCGGGAGAGATACTGCAAAAACCAAAACCCAATTAACCTTGCTAAGCCCAATAGTCTTGTCAAGCTCAATCCAAATTGCTAATCGTTACTAACCTCTTGGTAAACCTAACTCAGTAAGATCAGTGGTCCAGTCTACCTTAGTAGCCCCTCTTCTAAGGACTCTACTAAAGTTTCAGGCTCCTCCAAGCAGTCTAAACCGAAGTCTTCTGAGCTCCTTGTTATGGCTAAGAAGCTTCTTCAACAAGCAGCCAATAGTGGTTCGTCTTCACGAGCATCCTCCACAGGCTCAGTCAACCCATATGCCAATATGGATCCAGATGCCCAAGATCCATATGCTGATTGTGATGACCTCACCCCTGACCTAGTCTCCTCATGATTTTTTTCTTTATACGTGATAGCTTCAATCACTACTTTCTTCCTCTAAAAGAAAGAAAAGCTGTCTATTGCGTATAATGTTAAGATATCAACTGTTCTTTCAGTCTTTTCCACTAGTAAAACACCGAATAACCTCATCAAATTTGCTTTCTCCACCAAAAGTCGATTTCTTTTGTCCAGAGCAGGGACCCACCTATATATATATATATATATATATATATTTATATAATAAAGTAACTTACAATTTCAATTTCAAAAAATAAACAAAATAATTTTTACTATTCGCGGTTGAGATTATTTTAAATTTTATTTTAAAGTTAATATAACAGCTAATATTAATCCTAAATGTAATAGGAAAATAGGTCCCTAAAAGTATGTTTGGAGTAATTTTTTAAAAGAACTTTTAAAAATTATTTTTTATAAACATTTAAAAAAAAAATGGTGTTTGAAACTGCTCCATCACTACCTCTACCACCATCACCATCGTCACTACCACTGCCACTGCCGCCATCATTACCACCATTACCACCGCTGCCATCGTCATCACCACTACTGCCACCGCTGGCACAGGAAATAAACTAGTATATAATAAAATAGTTTATAATTCAAATTTCAAAAGATAAAAAAAATGACTTTTGTTTTTCGCGGTTCAGATCACTTTAAATTTTACTTTAAAGTTAATCTAACGATTAATATTAACACTCTAAATATTAATATTAATATTTGAAGTGATTAATATTTGAAGTGTTTGAAGTGATTTTTTAAAAATACTTTTACCAATTATTTCTCATAAATACTTTAAAAAAAATAGCATTTGAAACCGCCGCACCACTACCTTTACCCCACCACCCCCACCCTCACCACCACTACCTCTACCACCACCATCGTTGCCACCACCACCACCACTGCCGCCACCGTTGTTGCCACCACCANGCTAATATTAATCCTAAATGTAATAGGAAAATAGGTCCCTAAAAGTATGTTTGGAGTAATTTTTTAAAAGAACTTTTAAAAATTATTTTTTATAAACATTTAAAAAAAAAATGGTGTTTGAAACTGCTCCATCACTACCTCTACCACCATCACCATCGTCACTACCACTGCCACTGCCGCCATCATTACCACCATTACCACCGCTGCCATCGTCATCACCACTACTGCCACCGCTGGCACAGGAAATAAACTAGTATATAATAAAATAGTTTATAATTCAAATTTCAAAAGATAAAAAAAATGACTTTTGTTTTTCGCGGTTCAGATCACTTTAAATTTTACTTTAAAGTTAATCTAACGATTAATATTAACACTCTAAATATTAATATTAATATTTGAAGTGATTAATATTTGAAGTGTTTGAAGTGATTTTTTAAAAATACTTTTACCAATTATTTCTCATAAATACTTTAAAAAAAATAGCATTTGAAACCGCCGCACCACTACCTTTACCCCACCACCCCCACCCTCACCACCACTACCTCTACCACCACCATCGTTGCCACCACCACCACCACTGCCGCCACCGTTGTTGCCACCACCACCACCATCATAGCCATCTTCGCTGCCACCACCACCGCCACAGTCGTCGTTGCCACCACCACCACCATCGTCGTCGTCGCCACCGTTGTTGTCGTCGTCGCCGTCGCCGTCGCCGCCGCTACCACCACACAGCCACCACGGTCATTGTCACCCACCACAACCATCACCATCTCCTACCACCATCACTGCCGCCCACCATCTCTCACCCCCGCTACAAACCGATACTTAAATTCATTTATCTCTCATCTATATTTGTGATTTAATTTTGAAAATGAATACAAATATGTTTATTGTTTACCATTTTTTATTACTCTATGCCTTTGGGCACATACAATAACTTGTATATATATATACATAAAGTACAATATAATTCAAATTTCAAAAGATAAATAAGATGATTTTTATTTTTTACGGTTGATATCTCTTTAAATTTTATTTTAAAGTTAATTCGACGACTAACATTAACACCTTAAATTTAATAGGGAGTAGGGCCTTAAGAGTGTGTTTGAATGATTTTTTAAAAGTATTTTATAACTTCTTATAAGTACTTTAAAAAAAAAATTAGTATTTGAATTGTCCCACCATCACCACTACCACTACCGTCGCCAACCCACCACCACAACTACCGCTACTGCCATCACCGTTACCCCCGTCGCCCCACTCTGCTGTCGTTGCCGCCATCCCACCACTATTTTTGCCACAACAACTGCCACCCCACTACTAGGGGTGTTAATCAAGCCAAGCTCGATGAGCATCACTATGCTCAGGCTCAGCTTGACATTTTGGGAAGCTGTTCAAGCTCAGCTTGAGCTCGAACATCAAGCTTATTTTTTAGCTCGAGCTCGGCTTGACAAAAAAAAGGAAAGTTCAAGCTTTGGCTTGATTAGGCTTGTTTGCTGTTAACAAGCTCAAATCTGAGCTCTAGCTTGTATAAAACTTGATCCAAAAATTCGAATTCAAGCTTGCGTACAGGCTTGAATTTTAACAAATTCAACACCAGAAAAATGCACATGCACTGATGTACCCAACACACACTGATGCACATCACCAACCAAAAAAATTGTTCATAAACAACTAATTAAACAACCAACCACATGCACTGTCAAGTGCCAAGTGCTAACAAAAAAATTAAAAATGAAGTTTGTCAAGTGCCAACAAAAAAACAACAAGTTTTACAACAAAACAGCCAAGTGTCCTCATAGTAGAGCTTGCAATGAAAAAATCATAACCAAGAATTAGTATTGAAAATGAGTGCCCCCAAATAACACTGAATTTGTTTGCTAAAAATGATTCATGGGTGTATTGAAAATCGGGGAAGTAATTGGAGCATCTTTACAAGCCAAAAAACTTAAAGTTTGGACTGGGATCTCATTGCCTTGTTTTGAAATGTGGGTTTTTGGCTTTTGTTTCCACAGCGACTACACTTCTTCAAATGTATGCAAAATTTGTGATGTTGGGTCAGCTAGAATTTTATTTAATCAAATAAAATGAAGGGTTAGTAGCATCAAGCAGCAGACGAGAGATGGGTTATACATGTCTACCTGATCTTGGGTTAAGAGATGGACGAGAAAGATTTCACGAAGAATCACGAGAGAATCACCGAAGCATGTGAAGAATCACCGAAACATATGAAGAATCATCGAAGAATCGCACAGTAGCAGACGAGAGATGGAGTTGAGTTGAGGGCCTTGAGGCTTCACTGCTTCGGGCTTTGGAGAATGGCGCTTCTTTAGATTTGGGTTTGGGATACTTGGGTTGTTTACAATATTTGAACGATCTCGAACGAGCTCAAAACGAGCCGAACTCGAGTAGTTCAGTTCGATTAATAGCCCTACCCACCATCATCATCACTTCCACCACCGCCCCCTACCATAACCACCACCACCGTCATCATCCTATCACCACCACTACTGTCTCACCATTACCCCTGTCGCCACTGCCACTGCTCCACCATCACCATTTACTACCACCACCGCCACCCCACCACCACTGCTGTCGCCACTGTTATCGCCCACCATTACCGCCACATACTGTCATCTACACCCACCACACTTACTACCGTCATTTGCCACCATTCATAACATTATCGCTCAAAAGAATCCGTCATCACCCACTACCACCATTACCAACCACTATCACTATCGTCACTCATGATTACCACTATCACCATTGTCACCCAAAATCAACCACCACCATTACTGTTACTACTCACGGCTATTATCATCACCACAATCGTCACCACCCACCACAATACCATCACCGTCTCCTACCACCACCACCACTGCTGCCTATCACCAGTACCATTGCTCATTCCTATTACAATTGAGGTTTAAATTTTTTTTCTCCCCTTTATATTTATGATTTGATTTTTAGTATAAATATAAATATGTTTATTATTGACTATATTTTTTATTACTACGTACTTTTAAAAACAATTAAGAACTAGTATATATATAAGTGAGGGACTTAATTATTATTTTTCGTATAGCTTAGTCAGGATAGATCTTGATATTACTTAGTCATTTTTCTTTTTTTTGAGAATGAAAACCGCAAATTTTATTTATGTTTTAATATCAGATAAGACAAGCGGCATAAATAAAATTAGCATTTCGATAGTGACCCGTCAGGACCACTTCTCAAGGTCCATGCCCAACAACCCGTCGCCCACAGTATGATCCATTATATCAACCCGACTCGACCCATCGAAATATTCAAATACTCTGTTCTCTTCTGCACTCGACACTAGAAATTGGAGAAGAACAATGGTGAGAGAGAGAGGTCAGGTAGTCTACATGATCTACAGAGCTTTGACCTACGGTCTATCGCCGTTGATATACCTCCACCTACGGTGGCGCAAACTCCGAGGCCTCGAACACCCTCTCAGATGGCGAGAACGACTCGGCCGTCCCTCTCTGCCTCGCCCTCCTGGCCCACTCCTTTGGATCCACGCCGTCTCTCTAGGTCCACTTTCTCTATCCTCCTACATACACACACATATCTATATAATATAGGTGCATGTGTATGAATTTATTTATAATGTAGTTAGGTTTCTAAGTTTTCTTGAACTTTCCATGAGCCAAAACGAAATTTAGTTGATTGATTTTTATTTATTTAATGGAAATTAATTTGTGGGATTTTGTTAATAGGTGAAGGAATGGCTGCAATACCTGTGATCAAACAGTGTGTTCAGAGGAGGCCCGACGTAACTGTCTTGATGACAACGACGACGACTTCAGCATTGTAAGCCCAACCAGAATTTTATTTGTTTATTTATTTTGTTAATTTTCTTTTGGTTTGAATTTGAATGTTTCCTTCGATTGTATAATGTTCACTTGTTTGAAAATAAAATTTGATTCGATAATGATCAATGATTAAAATTCAATAATGCTATATCTGTCTTATTAGTATCAAGATGATTTTTTATTGTAATAAATTAGGATTAGCACATAAAAACAAATTAAATGTATGAAATAATTTTTTGATGGGGGTTTGTTGTCATTTACTGATAGGAAGAGGTGATCCTGAGAATGGGAGAGTGTAGGGAGGGTCAGTTTTGGATTTATGGAAATTGTATCGACTATTGACCAGCACGTGCAAGTAATAAAATCTCTTTCCAAATAAATACAAGGACTAAAATCAAGAGAAAAAGAAAACAAAAACTAAAGATAGAGATGAAATCATGAAAAATAATAATGTGGGTCTTCATTGATTTTTTGCATTTTGCTGTTTTGTTCTATTGCTTCGTTTATATTTAAATGTGGGGTTTATGTTGTATTTTGGGGTGCAATTTCATGATACAATGACCTCTGATTGAGCATTTGTAATAGAATATCATTCCGTGTTTGTTTAAAAATTTAAAGTGATCTTTCATACTGATATCTTCAAAGCATTTCACTGTTACAGAAGTGGTCCTGCTGGGGGGGACAAGATAGAGAGGTTTATTTTTTCAGATTGATTGAAAGCTATATTTTGTAAGAAGGATTATGATACAATTAAGGGAGAAAGAGATTATAAGAGAACGACAATTGACCTAAAAATTACTAATGTGGGTGTTAAAGAATGTTGTTTCACTATTTTGCATTACAAAAAAAAACAAAAAAAGGATGGTCGTCCATTAGTTGTTATTACTCCGGATAAATTTAGAATATCTCACTGTTGATGTAAGGACGTGGTCCTGCCTTTGTGTGCACAGGTTATAGACGTCTATTTTGAAGGTTGATTGAAAGATGTATCTGCTACACAGTATAAAATTGTTGGAAGGAAATAAACAATGAGAAATAATTGCCAAAAAATTATATAACTTAAAAACATCATACAATAATTGCCAATTTATACTTATAGTTTGACCATCAACTAACATCTACTTAGATATATTATGAAGCCTCACCAATTAGCATTCGCCCTCAAATTAGAGGTTAGCATAATTGCTAGTCCCCTCCAGCTCATTTGATGTATATGTTCTTTTTACTTTGTTTCCGCATGCGTTGGCAATTGGCAATATCAATCTGTTGTTGTTGCTCCATGTTAACATCTGAGGATAGTGTACGTAATGGTAGTGTATGTAATGGTGGTCCTCTCTCCGATAGAGACCCCGCCCATGCAACCGGTGTTTCTTAGACCGTAAAGATGCCATTTTCATACTCATTTCTCTTGCATTAAGGGCCCCGGTTGGAGTGTCTTTGAGATACTCTATGTGCCTATGTTTAACATTCACTAGAGGCTCCTTGGAATTCATTAAATGTCTTGTCCTGACATGTGACTCATGTCAACTAAATAAGTTATGTTAGGTTGAATCCCAATTAAAGAATTTAGTTTGGCTATTGATCTCCTGTATTTTCTTAGTTATTAAAAAGTAAAAGTTGATTATCTGCATCTAAGTTATCAAATCAAAATTCGTATCAGGAATTGAAATCCTAGATTTGAAAATCAGGAATCGTAAGATTCAACACAAAATACGAACAATGATAAAAGTAACATGTACTTATTTAAAATAGGTAAGATATTAAATATTGAACATTATTGTATTTTAAAAATAATCAATTGACAAGTATTGACATGATTACGTCGTCTAAATGGAAAGATGTTATAGCCTTTATAAATCTTTATAAAATTACACTTGAATTTGTACCTCTGTTACTTCTTTCTTAATATATAGCAAATCGTTTCCTCAAAATGACCATGATGAAAGATGCATGATTTTGACCAACAAATAGGTATTGTCTTCATTCGAATGAAGTTAAACTAAAATAGGAAAAGCTCATACTGATTCAAAGATGTAAAGTTAGAAAAATACTTCCCATGTTCGATTAAAAAATAATTTTGTGATAAAGCACAAAAAACCGAGCATTTATTGAAGAAGAAGAAAAAGTAAAATTAGGGTATGTTGGGGGTTGATAGTTGTTTTTGAAGAGGAAGAAGAATGTTTGGAGTGAAGGAGATGCCGTCTCTATGTGATGTTCACAAATGCTTAAACAGTTGCTTGAGAGGCAGAGACACGAACAAGAGAAACATAGAGAGACGAGAGTTTTATATTTAGGGGTGGGCTTCATCTAGCAACAGGAGGTCGTTTTGACTAGAAATAGGATTAAAAAAATAATAATAAAATGAATCGTATGATTCCTTCGATTCAAATCAAATCGTACGATTCAGTTGCGATTCTCGGCTAAAAATAATTTTATTACAAGATACGAATCGAATCGCAAATCGTACGATTTTGATAACAATGATCTGCGTTGCTTCATAGGGTTTAGGAGATCATCATTTTTATTTGCTTTCAATAAACTAATTTCTTAGGGAAAAGAACCACACACATGGGCTAAAAGAAGTTGGTTCCTTTGTTAGATCAAAACTCCCTCAATAGAGCCACTCTTAACATTAATGTAGATTACCAATAAACACTAAAAAACCTTCATGAAATTCTCTCTCATGATGGCTATTACGTTCGTTAATAACTGTGATTTTTTCAGTGTTTTGGTTCCTTTTTCACTTTGCATTTCATTTTCTGGTACATGCTCTAAGAATATGAGAAACAAACATAATGAGTAAGTATAATGTCAAGCGTGGAAGAATAACGAAACGAGAACAGCACAATAGGAGTATTTAACTAGAATAGTTATATGACAGACATCAACTTCTTGAATTATCTATTAAAAAGCATTCAGCAACTCTATTTTGTTGAAAATTGCAACTACAAAAATTCAGATGGTAATTCTTTGCACAATACAATATTGTTGCAATTCATGCTTCAAATATATTAAGGAAATTCATACATATATTTTTTCTAAACAAGATGTTGAATTTATGTTCAATTTTATAAATGGATCAAGCTTCTATATGTTTTATGATTGATAGGAACCCATCACACTCCAGATGCTTTTTCACTTAGGCCATATGGTGACAAAACCACACTAAGCTTTGAAATCTCACCATGGGTTGAAGGATACTCTCAGATGGACACATCAAAGGTTTCATCAATACTTCATATTCTCGTGTAGGCGCTATCTTCAAGAAAAGAGCTTTAATTACTTTGTATTATGAAGAGAGAGGTGACTGAAGTGGTAAGCCTATTGATGGGCAAGAGCATGTATAGATCCTGAAGATGATATAGTTGAGTGAGGTGGTAAGTTCATTGAGCCCAAAGTTGGAGGTCATGATAGTATAGTATGCATGGTTATGCTTGCCTGCCACTAATTATCTTTTATTTCTGCGGGCACTAAATGTGCAGATAATGTGTTGCTGAGAATTGAAGAGCTTTAGTTTCTTATTACAGATTGGTTATTGGAAAGACTTCGAATTCTCATGAAAAACGAAGTCATCTAGATGAATATTTAGTCTCTTGCTAAGCCCATAGAACAACTAGAAGCATTATAAAATCTAAGATATGCATAAAAATTAAATGCTTTGGTAAGTAGATACAGAAAGCACATTGGTCATATGATCGGAAATTTTGTGCTCAAAACAGAAGCAAAGTTCTCTGGGATGCTTTTGGAGGACAATTTATAAATCTTCGAGTGTCGGTTTAGGGAACTTAAGTAGGATGCTTTGTTTTATTAATATAGATATCCTATTGAACTTCTCATGGAGAGTCAAATTACTCCAAAACTTCACAATCAAATGAACTGTGAACTAATAGCAAGTATGTATAGTTTGTTGAACAATGAAGGCAAACACCTAAGGCTGAACGGGTCATGGGCAATATCGGTTTGACTTAAAGGCACATTCATGGCCTCCTTTAGCTCTAGAACCAGAACTATGTTCCTCCCTGCTAAATGCACTTGATTTGTCACTTGATGTGGTGACGTGTGCTCACCTTTTGCTATAGTGCTTCACCAATACTTGATACGTATTGCTCTTGAACTTGTCCCTTTAAAAGATGAAAAATGAAAAAGAAAGAAGAGAGAGAGCGGCAAAGGAAGAAATTATTTATAGTCTGAGAAAGATGACAGTTGTCTTCATAGGACCTTGTGTTTCTGAAGATGTATATGGTGGTTAGAGAGTTGCTCACCACGGTCAACATATTGATTGCAAGATAGGGCAAGTAGCTGATAATTCAAAATTGATGCCAAACTAGAAGCCTATTGCATCAGATGGGGAGAGAAGATATAAAAAAGAAACCAAAAGGGAAGACTGACATGACTGGAAGTAGTTTGTTCTTTGATGAGGAGATTTAGTTTTGACCAAGAGTTTTCTACCATATAGTTAGAAGTCATTCTAATTTCTTCTTGTTTTGGTTACAACGTAAGGTCTTATGGGAGCAAAATTATATTCTCTTAATGCTAGGTTTAGTCTTTAGTGTTTGGATTGGAAGTCACATCTCAAACTTTGGTTGGTTCAGAATTGGAACCACTATATTAAAGTTCAAATCTTGGTCCTAGTCCAGGGCATTGTAAATATTGATAAAATGTTATGATGTTGCTTACCGTCTTTGTATTATACCAATTCCTAAATGTTTGCATTATTAAACATTGAAAAGGAACATTTGATGACCTTCTTTTACCTTTCTTTGGTTTACAAATTTTGACCCTTTTTGTTATCCTCTTTTTTTTTTGGTTTGGGGATGGGGGGTGATTCCATTTCTGTGCAGTGAAGTAATAAAGCATTGGCTTCCAACTCATGTAATATATCAGGTGCTCGTTCTTCCATTTTTTTAGCATGATGCTATCTATTGTTTGAAAAGTTATATCTTTTTTTCCCATGTACTTGATTATTTGTAATTTGGACTCAACTTGCTGCTGAGTTTTAAAATTACTGATTATCAAATATCTGTGAATTATGAGGATTATGTATGGTATCTTCCATATCCTTTAATGTGGTGGCATTTGATAGTCTTGTTGACAATCACGCTGTCTTCTGCAGTTTTCTGCTTTAATATGCTTCCTTTTTCCATTGAAAGGAAAAAGCAATTATATCTGAGATAATACACTCCATTTTCACTGCTATGATGGGCAATTTGATGTGAACTTGGGGACCACTTTGATGTCAGTGGATAAAATCCCTAGTGGTCCATTTCGTACAAAGACTAAAAAAACTATAGGAAGGGTCTAGGAAGCTGTCTGCATACAGCATCAACCAACGGAAAAACGTAGTTGCCTTTTTTCACGAGTTTTGACTCCTTTGGTTTGGTTCACTAGGAAGGTAGAATGAAGGAAGACACAACATACTGATTGGTTTACAGTCATATCCTCACAGATTAAACAGAACCCTTACATATTAGACAAGGAATGTTGTTCAGAGCGTAAAATTATAGAAGGGCGCTCGGGTAGGTATGTCCTTAGTTTTTTCCCTCATTTTGGAGTTGAAGTCCTCCCTTCCTTCCCTCTTCCTCTTCTTTTTATCAAACAACAGAAACTCCATCCATTAGCCCCATTTCCCTTCTACTTGTCCTGCCAAGCATGGCATAAAGGAACTGATTGATAAAACTGAATTATGGTCTTTGTCTATTTTTAGTGGTCTTTTTGTTCATTTTTTTTTGTTCTTTGCCCTTGTGGGGTAAAAATGTGGAAAATCAGTAACAGCTCCAAGATTAAATTGCTTTAATTCTCATCTGGATGGCTTTGCCATAGATGACCTTATAGTCCACATGACGGATCCAGGGTGCCCTGGTGAGTAGGTCTCTTGCTTTTGTTTCTTCAAGTTTTCATATTAGGTTTATTTATGGCTACATATACTCTATTTCCTTTTGTTTGTTTTGAGGGCTGTTTCTTGGTTTAAACCCTTCTTCCTATCTCCTGTGATGTCAATGTCTGCACTTTGAAAGATGATGTTTATGTTGGGATGGTATGTAGTGTATATTATTGCATTTTATAGGTTACCTCTGTTCTCTTAAACCAGATAAAGATAAATAAAATTTTGCTTTGTTGCATCCAAACTTTTTGCATGAACCAGTTTGCTCCACTTGATACACCTGCTTCTATGGATGCTTTCCTTGGGTACTGGAAGCCAAATGCAATCATGCTTCTGGAAAGTGAACTATGGCCAAATCTTATAATTGGTGCCTCGAGAAATGGGGTGAGTCATTTGTTCTTACATACCTCTCAATTTCATCACGATGCCTTGAAGGAAGAAATAGATTGTATCTTCCTAAAATTTTATTCTGAAGTGAATGCTGACTTACAAATTATTTAGCACTGGTTTTTGTAGGAGTCTTAGTGATAGATAAACTTTGGAATTAGTCTCAGTGTTGTCTTTGCTTGATAATGCAATTCTTCATCATGAGTCAATGGATAGAAGATGTTGGGTAATTGACCCAACGGATTTTTTCTCTTGCAAATTCTATTTTGAGTCCTTAATTGATGACACTAGTCTCCCAATCTTTATCCATCTTTGAAGATTTGGAAGGCTAAGGTGTCTTTGAAAGGGTAAGTTTGTGCATGGGTCATTGACATGGAACGATCAATACAAATGATTTGCTTCAAGGAAGGAGACCCCAAACTTGCCTCTACCCACAATGGTGTGTTATGTGCAAGAATGATAGCGAGAATGTGAATAACTTATTTTTGCATTGCTCGATTGCGTTGGCTTTATGGAATAAATTGTTCGACATGGAAGGGCATTCTTGGGTGACTCCAAGTTCTATATCATCAATGCTTTGTGTGGACTCTTTGGAATTATGCAACTTTTGCCAGTGTTTGGGTGATTTGGTTGGAGAGGAATGCAAGAATTTTTTAGGATAAATATGAGGTGGTTGAAGGGTTGTGGAATTGAATCTACTTTTTAGCAACGTTTTGGTCATCGGTTCAAAGGAGTTTGCAAACGTTCCTCTTTTCGGACTGTTGGCAAATTGAACTGCAGTTTGTGATTGATTAACCAGTTTTTTTCTGGTTTTGTTGTTATGAATTTGTACCTTGATGAGTTGCTTTGTGGATGGACGGCTTGTCCATTGTTGATCTCATATTGTCCTACATCTTTTTTTTAATAAAACTTTTGTTTCCTTTCAAAGAAAAAAAAAATTAGCAAACCCTCAGTCTTGTTTAGCAGTAAGAAATTTTCTTTTCCACTTCCCTTTTGTTATAGGGACCATAGTTGTAGCTTTCTATTAATCTGCATGCCACATTTGTGTATTATGTATTTATGTTGCTGATTCGTAATATTAACACCCATTTAAATTATATTCAGATTGAACTGGCTTTGTTAAATGCTCGGATGTCCGTGAAATCCTTTAAGCATTGGTCTGGACCAGTAGTTCTTCCCTTGACTTCATTGATGCTGTCAAAATTTTCGTTAATTGTCCCATTGGTATGTCCTATTATTTTATCAAATAAGCTATGAATACACTCTATTCTTCCTAACTCTTTATTTTCTTCTTATGTTCATGTCACAGAGCACAATACAGGCCATCCGTTTTCAGCTGTTGCAAGCCCCACCATTTATCATTAACTTTTCTGGAGACTTAAAATACGGTACAACCAGTAATCTGGAGTATGGGTGTATGTTGAAACTACAAACAACTCATTAAGCAAAGTAGCAAAGTAGATTCATTATTTGGTTTGAATTGGCATGTTGACCGTTATATGGCAAGTATAACTTTTTTTTAATAATCCATATAACCCCTCTTGTAACTAGATTGCTACTAGTGGATCTGCTTCTTCCATTTATTTCTAACCTTCATACACTGGTTATACTATTATTGAAAAAGATGAGCTTGGTAAATTCTGATGTGGCGCATCATGTTTTTCTTTCAGCCATAGGAGAATTTGACATTTCTAAAAGAGATGCTAGTATGGAAGATATGCAAGCACAGTTTGCTCATCGACAGGTTTGGATGGCTTCTTCCATACATAAGGGTGAAGAAGAAGGTAAGGTGCTGATACAATCACTCTGTAACTACACTTTGGGTGTTTCAGTTTTGTGATGCCACTTGCATTCGGGCTGAAGATGAAGCTATTTTACATGAAAAGGAGAGAAAATTAAAATTGGGATGAGAGGGGTATTGTGGGGTGGGTTTTTTTTGGTTTTTTCTTTTTTTTTTTTTAGGGGGGGAATAAGTGGAGGTTATTCTCTTGTTTTTGAAATTTCTCACTGTATTGTTTTCAGCTCTCTCTCTCTCTCTCCTCTTCGTAAGAGAACCCAAAAATGTTCTGTTCTTTCTTCAGTAGAAAATCAATATCCCTCTTCTTCAACAGTGAAATAACCGTATTGGAATGACATCTTTGCTTCCTTTGAGAAGCAAAGATGTTGGGGTATTCCGGATGGCTTCCTGCGAGGTCGGGCAATTCCAGCTGGTTGACGGGTAACTGCTTCGTCAGAAAGTTTCTGATTTGCTGAGGTGATTGAGGTTTTCTCAGTCATCAGATGTGTGGCTCTTCTTCACTGTCCCCCTAAACTCAACGTGCAAGAGAAGCAAAGATTTAGGAACAATCTACTACCCGAGAAAAAAAAAAAAAACATGTAATCAATCTCAACTTGGAAAGCCTGCAATAATAAATTTAGAGTTTAGAGGAGATGGGGGCAAAGAATAGAGACATGTAGAAAGAGATCACTCCATTCTACCAGTTGCTGTTGATACCAGACATGGGATTTTGGTTTATCAATCTGTGGGTCAACAGATGAGGAAGAGCAAAATCCAAGTATTCCAGCCAAAGCATTATCTTGTGGCTCAGTTTATGGTAAAGTTCTTGGTGTGGAATCATATGATTAGAAATTGGACTAAACCTAAATAAATCCATTTTCTTTTTGTCTTCCTTTCTTCTGGTTAAACCACAAAAAGCCTGGGCCTGTTCAGGCTTGAATTGCAGATACACTCAATCTCAGGTCATGTATGGTATGTGTCTGTTCATTGTCAACCCAAGCAGTGGCGGATCTAGGAATTTACTTTTGGGGCCAACTTTAACAGTAATAGGATAAAAAGTTGAATAAGTGCAAAAACTTAAATATATTGATGGATAATACTTTTATTCAATACATTAACAATTGCTCCCAACTTTTTTTTTTAATTTTGAGAACATTACATGATAGTCTCACTAACAATGTCATTACATGTATTCTTCTCAATATATCCAATCACCATAGTGAGTGAAGGGGAGAGATGTAGTGAGAGAGGTAGAACAATGAGCTTTAGATGATTTTTTGAAACATGATTGACGAACTAAACATTATTTAAGTTTACTTAAAGAGTGTCCAAAAATTTATCCCAATTGTGAGAGATGTTCAAAGCCCATTAAGGTTTATGATTTCTTGTTTGAGGGCGTGGATCTAAAAATATATTGTATAAAAGTCTTCTTTTAAAAACGAATTGATTGAAGGCAATTGCCCTCATTGAGCTCTATGTGGCTCTACCATTGGACCCATGCTTTAGTGTTCACTAATGGATTGATTTGTTTTCTATTCATGAGCCTTCTTTTTCCTCTAAGATATAGTTCAGTTAACGCCATAGGCATGTTTTCTAGTAAAATAATTGCATTTGACATCTGTGTTGCCCAAGAAATAAACCGAGGTGACATTGGAATCATGTTTTCTCTCGAGGTTAAGCATTTGACACGAGAGAATTCTTCTTCCTTTAAGATATAGTGCAGTTGACGCTGTAGTGATTTTCTCGTGGAATTGGTGCATGTCTATGCGAATTGTGCCAGTTCCAATTTGAATTTGCCAACTACCTGTTTCATGGCTATAATTTGAGTTGCGGGTCACCGCTACCAAGGATTTCCCCCTTAATCTTAGATAGGTCGTTTGAAGGTTCGCCGCGGTTCATTGTTGCGCTTACACATTATGCTACCCTTTTCTGAAATCTCTGTGGGACCACCTGCCACTAGTCTTCGGCTAAAGGTGTTTATTGGACAAAAATGTCGGGACACAGGTTCTCGAAGAGGGAAGCCCAACGAATGTCAAATGCAAAGCCCTGCACATCATTAAGATCATATTGGCATCCTCTCCCAAAAAAAAGAAAAGAGCAGACCCCATTGAAGACGAGAGTGAGGTACAACAAGGCCTTTTTGTCCATCGCCCTTCTTACGGAGCCGTATGTGGACATTATCGCTCATACAACTCCCAGCTAACAAGTAGTTAGCCTTCCTCTACAATGAATGGAAGTGTGGATGAATCGACATCAAATAAGGAATTTGATTTTTCTTTTTAGCAATAACATGATAAGAGCATCCCTTTCACAAAAACCTACAACCCCCCATTCCAGCCACTTTAGCACCTTGTGATCTTTGAGAAGAGCATTACGAGCCCTATCCTAGAATATTTTTGTAGATTTCACGGTGGATCAAGACGAGAATGAATTCGGGAATCCAGGACATATTCATCCTGAAACTTCTGCTCTCATTTGGGGAGGGGTTTTTTTATAGAGGGAGGTGAGTCGAGAGTAGCCTCCCGCTTGACTTTTTTTTCGGAGTCAGAGGAAGGTCTCTCATCTGATGACCCTGAACAAGAAGGAGTTGCTCTCTATGTGAGATCAGCAGCAAAAGAAAGAAGAAAAGTGCCATGATCCTATGTTCGTTTTCGCCTTGCCCTGATGATGCGCTCCTAGCTCGCGGAGCTACATACCGCATCACAAGATTCATTTACAATTGCCTGAATTGGCATGTTGTGGTGATGCTATGACACAGATGTAGGTTACTTCGTCACAAAAATTATGTTATATCTTGTCAACTCAGTATGCGGTTTACCTCCTTTTGCCTCTTTTGCTAGGTTTTGGCTCTTATATCTGCACGTGACAGTAGTGTTGCTATCCACATGCAAAAATCAATAGTTTTTTTATGTGTTGAGTGAAATGCTCACAATCTGATCTGCAGTAATTCTAGGAGTTCACAAAGTGCTGAAGCAAATGCATCCTGATGTAGTGACTATTATTGTCCCTCGACATCCCCAACTTGGACAGGACATTGCTATGGTATGATTCTGATGCATATCTCTGCCATATAACAGTACCCATAGTTTTGCACATATGTACTACTTCTTCAAGTATTTGTACATTGGTTCTTTGCTTCTTGTCGTGATTTCCACCGAGTGTCTTATTACACTCTCTGTTCATTCCCCATGCATAATATTTTGAAGTTTTTCTGGGCATATTAAAGGGCTTGGACTTTTCAGATTAATTTGGTCCAATAATGCAGCAACTACAGCAAGAAGGGGTGAATGTAGCATTGAGGTCTCATCAAGATAAGCTCATGCCTGGAACAAGCATATATGTGGTGGACACATTAGGTTTGAGTTTTTATTTTTTTACGTTGAGCTTTTTCGCAATGCATGCTGTCGTTCCTAATTTAGATTACCAAAAATTTTGAGAATGTCTCTGTATAATTTGATTTTTCTGGCTTCCTATCTTCCTCTTTATATGGATTTGTAATTTCAGTGTGACTTTTGATGCCAAGTCCATCTGTTTGTGGGTAGAATTTCTCTCATTTATTACAGCATATCAAAGAAATATAATAACTAGATCCTTTGTTTTGACTTCTCAACTGCATTGTTCTTTCCATTCTTCCTAACCCGAAAATTGCATTCAGAGGAAGTGCGACTATTTGGTGGGCTTAGTGGATGGACTTGTTAGGGAATCCACATCCCATAAAAGTCCATCTTGTAAATCAACATCTTGGGGATCCTTTGTTAGAACATCGGTTTTAATGCCTTGCCCTCAATACTATGTGATTTGCCTTGTCCTCAATACTATGTGATTTTACAAACCTTTGTTCTCTCTAAACATTTATGCATTTACAGTTCTGTAACACCATCGCCGGTGAGGCAGCGCTAACCAATACAATCTCTGTTAGGTGCTCAATATTGATCAATTCAAAATTTAATATTTTCCTTGTGTGCTGTAATGGCACAAACCCAATCCTATAAAAGCATGGTGGATGAACGATAAGCAGCTAGCACATGCTGTGGTCCCATCTTCATATCTCCTTCTTTGGTCCTGGTTCTGTCTTGTTTTCTCTTGGTGCTTCATCAGCGAGCTCGGTTTGTCAATGTAAAATGTCTTTAATTTTGGATCTATTAATGCCTATGAATCATGAATACTCCATTTGAGTTATACTATCTATATCGGATATAATACTCATTGGTTATATATCAAATAAACCCATACGTTAGAAAGCATGGATACTTCCATAGGGGAGCCGTGGCAGTGTCGGACACGTGTACGACACGGACACGGCCAAGATATAGCCGGACACATGTCCAACACGGCTAGAAGTATCTTGAATAGTGAACTTTGTAGGACACGGGTAGGATATGTCTAAGACACGGTTAGGATACGCCTAAGACACGGGTTGGATACAAGTAGGACAAGGTCAGGACATGGTGAGGATAAGTCTTGGACACGGCCAAAAATTTTTTTATTAAAAAAACTACTTTTAAATATTAAAAAAAGCGTGATTTTTACTTTTTTTAATATATTTTTTGTTATGTAACTTATATACTATAAATGTTAATTGATGTCATGACGTTTGATGAAAATGATAGATATTTAATTTGATCTATTTTAATTTTAATCAAAAAATAATATTTGTTAGGTCTTATTATTAATATTATTATAATATATGTTTTATTTTTAATATATTACAACTATATTATTATTTAAAAAATATATTATATTATTTTAATAGTTCTATCCTTGTAGTACTCGTGTCCTATATTTTTGAATTTTGTCGTATCCGTGTGTCCAAATCGTATCTGATACGACACCCATGTCGGTATCCGTGCATCCTAGCCCATACATATCTAATAATTGACGACGTATTCTTTCATTTCTAAATGTGTCTCAGACATGTGTATCTGAGATCAATATACTTCAAGTATTGAAGTCGATATAAAGTGCAATAAGTATAATTTTAATTTGTACCTTTTTTTCTCAAATTCACATACAATGATACGCATAAGAAAAATTCTTATAACTTGGAAGACACATGGGTGTTTTGTTATTATGATCTACTAACCCATTTTAGACAGATGTAAAATAAGTTGATTGCACCTTATCTCTTGGCAACGAGTACTTTTATTCGATCTAGCTGGTTCAATGCTGATTTTGGTTCCTTTATTTAGCCACATTCACTTTGTAGCTTTAGAATGATGAGACAATCCATGGTTCTTTAAAAGTAAACTTGCTTATTTTTTGAATTATTATAAAATATTTTATTGAGAATTGTAAGTTTCAAATTGTTTGATAATAGTGAAAACACAAAATGTGTTTTATGATAGAAGTATCTCAGTGGGATGCATATCCTAGTTTGATAGGTTTTGAGATATTGCTGGTTATCTTATTGTACTCATACCGTATCCTTGTTTTCTAGATATATGTATGTATTTTTTTATAAGCTTATATAGAGTATGAGTTTCACCGAACATCCCTCTTTCTTAATAAGTCAAGTAGCAGTGGACTTTTGTACGTCTGCTCAATATCTCCTTCATCTGCAGGAAGTGATGCAAACACACCTCTTTCTACTTGTCCAAACTATACATTGTAGAAAACAGTGGGTAGTGCAGACGACTTAATCTGAAGCTATGTTAAGGGTAATGTCCTGAAGGACAATATGGTGGCAATTTATCTCAGGAAAACACATGAAAATTATGAGCCACTCATCTTGGCGTGGTGTTCTCCTTTTTCAGAATTATTAGTAGAAGCATTTTCTTTTTCTTTTCTTTTTTTCGTGGGGGTTGGGGGTGGGCACATTTATAGATTTTTCCCATCTTGCAATCTTGGTTTGCCTACTCTTCTCCTGATTTTTATGTCCCTGGGACAGTTTTCTTCAAGTAAGACAACTAGGCATTCATGAGCACACACCTTAAGTATACACGTGTGAGATATGGGATATGTTAAACACATGGTTGCAATTCCCATAACAAAATTAGGACTTCAAGAATAAAAGAAGACTGTTTTGCTTGTCCTCATTTCCTATTTGTTTAAGTGACATTTGTGCTCTTTTTTAATTAGGAAACTGAAATTACACTTTGGATAATTCAAATTACTTTGCAGGATTTCCTTAGGGACAGCTGAAGGAATTCATATTTTATGGCCCCAACATGATATCATACTCTGTAGCTTATAATGTTGTTTTTCTCCACATCTTAAAAAGTCATTTGGAAATCTCTTCTTTGTATAGTGAGTTGTTGACCAGCATAGGAAGGCTAGCTTTCCCAGTATCTTGCTTTCTACAGTTCTTATTATGCAATCTGGAAATATCGGTTGTCTGTTATCTTGTTATTCATTCTTTAATGTTTTCTCTGCACTTTACATATGGTTAATGTTGCTAAAGTAGTGATACTTAAGCCTTTAGGCCCTTTACCTCAATGTGCAACATGAATCTATTACTGGCTCAATCCTTTTAGGGGCAACCTGACACCCTCACCCTCAAAAATATATCGAGACATTTTTTAAGTTAGATTTTTTTAGGAACTTATAATAATTTAGAAGATTATAGAAAATATTTTGGCAGCCAGTGAGCAAATCTTAACTTTGGACTAACCAAACCAAACCAAGCTTTATGTCTCAATCATTTGGGGTCGGCTATATGACTGTGTCGTTTGGACTTGTCATAGTGGATCCGACAAAGTTTTACGCTGGCTGTCCGCTACCTAACGTAACCCTTCTCCTTTATCCAGGCTTGGGACAGGCAATGTTGAATACAACACTGGCGGAGTTAAATCTTACCTTGGACTCAACACTCCCAATCTGGTTACACCAGTACCTTTGCTGGTTCAATATGCCACCTGTAGCTCATTTGTTACTTCTTTCATGATATAGTTTAATAGATCTGTTGAGATCATAATTGAAATTTGGATTGGATGTGTTGATAATTTTAAACTTGGCAGGTCTGACAGTAGTTGCCCCTTTCTATATTTCAGTATACAGTGTCAATCTAGACTATTTTCTTATGAGTGTAAAAATTACATGGAAGCTTGATTGTTTGCAATTTCAGGATTTTGTCCATGGAGGTGTAAAATGTTCAACTTGCTTTGTAGGTGAATTAAGACAATTTTATAGACTAACTCCAATAGCTGTAATTGGAGGTTCTTTTTTGCCTGGTTTAGCTGGGCATAATATTTCAGAAGCTGCTGCAGCTGGATGTGCTGTTTTGACTGGCAAGTGCTTCTCACAAAAACCCTCTTATTTGTTTCATATAGTGCTTCAAACATATGATAGCTAGAGTCTTTCTCGATGGCAATTGCCAGGTAATTATGTTGGCCACTTCTCACACATGGCAATGGAAATGCAACGGTTGAATCCTTTGTCAGTTCTACAGGTGTGAATAACCTCCTCTTATTTGTACATCCTATCCCTTCTTGAATGAATAAGAGTTGGAGAAACTAGTCAGGGCAGACACTATTCAGACTGTATTAAGACAGTAATAGTATAAGAAATATCATCCCTTTAAGCGTGCGCCTAGAAACGTAGACCCACATTGATAACCGTATCCTGATTCATCTTTGTTTTCTTCTTTTTGAATAGAAAGTCTTAAGACTTTTTGCAAGATGATGGACGTCTTTTATTTGAATTCTACAACTCTAAATGTTGTAAACCATGTTTGTACTTGAAAGAAAACAAGAGAGTTATATGGGAGGAGTGGAGGAAGTGAGGGTCAAGAATATCTGAATAAACCTAAACTAATAAGAGTACCTCTTGAAATGGGAAAAAGGCTAGATAGCTCTTGATATCAGCCTGATAAATGTCCTAGCCTAGCTCAACATGAAGTCAATGCATGGATGAGTTAAGCTGTCCTTAACCAAGTGTAGGTTTAGTTATCTATCAATTTTCAGAGAATTGGCTTAGGCACTTAATTCTTGAGGCATCTTGGATTAAGGAAATTATTGGTGAGAACAAGTATTTCATTGGGTGGTGATTGCAGTCAGTGTGTTAAACTTGCAGTCATAACAGTAGGTAAATTTACTTACATTGGGAAAATTTGGTGATATGTACTTTTAGTTCTGATGGACTAATTTTGATCTGGTATGCTGATTTCCTTTTTAAATTTAGTTTAAAATTTTTTCACTCTTTCTCTGCGGAGAAAGCTCTCAGTGTCACTACATGTGCAGATTTCTGATGAAAGAGAGCTTGCCAAAGTTCTCAGTGAGCTCTTCAGTGATGTCAAACTTTTGGAAGCCCGACGTGTGGCTGCAAAACAAGCTTTTCATGTCCTGTCAAATGGAATTATTGAAAATATCTGGAATCTGCTAAATTTCCATATTTTCAGGAGAGCTATGGCAGAAATATAAGATTGGTTTGTAGCAAATAAGATGTGGAGGTAAAGATTTTTGCATCTAGCTTAAAGCACTTATTGATTGCATCCATTAAATCTGAGCCCATTTGCTCAGTAGTTTCAATGCCCTCATTATGGCCTCTGCGGCTGTTGCATTTGATATTCACTCAAACACAAAGTTCCCCATCCCCCCAAAATATATATAAATCTGTTGCTTTTTTCCATTTTCCATTTTCCTCTTTTGAGACCCTTGTATCAGTGCATTTACACTTATTGTTCCCATCTGTGTCTTTCGTTTTTGGGTTGAATTCAGTTGCTTGACTTGCAGTCATGCATAGTTATACCTTTTTTGTGAGTTTATGGGGGTTAATTGGAAGTAAATTGATTCGTAAAAATCCAGTCCCATGCCTAAATGGCAGTTTTCCACGTGCATTCCCTGACAAAAGTACATAACCCTGACCTTAATGTATTTATCTTCACAGAGTGACCATCCTCTTGTATAACAACTAGCAAATTTCTGCCTGATGACACTCAAGAAGCTACTGAATTGATATGTTTTGCTAAATTTTTTTTCCGTCTGACAATAACAGTAGTATCTATAGTGGTAGTGGCAGCAGTGGTAGCTTAGCTAGTTGTAAGTATTCTTAATGTGCATTTGATTGCATTATTTTCTGGAGGATTTTTAGAATAAGCATTTGACTGAACCATTCTGCATGGAACGATCAAAAGGGGGTATTGTGGTAAATGAATTACTTCTAGCTTTTCAGCTGACATATTGTTATGATTACTCAGGGCTTTCCTTTGTTCCATCATGAGTGCTGAAACCTTTCTCCTTGCTCCCTTTCCCTCTATATATCTTACAGGTATTTTTGCATTTGCACTACTTGGTAGGAATGTGGTACATGTTGTAAGCAAGATGGAGATGGGTTTGTTTCGAGTTCAAAGTGAGAATACGGATTCACCATAGTGAGCATAATACAATGATGATTTAAACCCTTAGATTACACTCAATGTAATATCCAGTGTAATGAGTTACACCAAGAAAAGAATGCTGAAAATATGTAGAAGCCTATTCCCAATGTTTTGTTCATTGTGATTTGCTGGTAAACTATTAAACCCTCATGCCGAGTGAACTCCTTTCTGAGTAATGTGTACTTGTTTACTTAAAAAGAGCGGTCCAGGGCACGAGACACCCATCATTAGAGGGCCTTGATAGGGTCAGTTTGAGTTTTCTTTTCTTAATTAGTAAAGCATATGGGGTGCTAATTTATATTTTGCATTCTGATTTCAGGGTCATAAAGTCAATATTTGAATAATTGTGCAGCAGCTACCTTGTTGGGAATTAATGTTTTCTCCTTTGCTCAGTAAGTGAAACAAGTCTAATCTTACTGCCAAGTTTTTTATTCCTGTGGCATGTACTGTTTTATCACCGTGCTTTGTTCTTTTTGAATGGTAAAAATGCTTCAATTCCTGGATGTAGCTTTTTGCTAGGATTCTTCAAATTTTAGCCCCCCCCCTTCCGACTGCAAGGGAATGCAGAACATACTAACAGGAAGGACACTTATGAAATTGTACATGTGGTTCGTTTTTAGCATGTGTCATGAATTGCAGGGCTAAATTCATGTCTTAGATGCCGGTACGTTAGTAAGCTACTGATTTTTACGTGGAAATCCAGTAAAACCACTTAAGAATATATGAATACTAGATCAAATATAAATTGCTGAGAGCGAATAGGTCTCAAATTTCCATCGAGAATGATGATTCAGATTAAACAGTAGTGTTTCCACATTGAAGTTCTTTTTAGAGGTCGAAATAAGTTCGTTCGTATTATGGAGAGGAGTTGCATGAAAGCTTTTTTGTTGGATACAAATTGGGATCATGCTTTATATTTAGAGAAATGATTTTGAGATGCGAAGGAAATGGAAGTTTTTTCAGGAATTACAAGGGAAATTCTATTTGTTATGGATTGAAGTGGTTACTAATGGCAGATGAACTTTTGCCAATATATCAAAGATGCTCCATAATGGTGAGCGAATGGGCTTGATTGGTCCAAGAGGGATGGGAGGAAGAAGTTGGATTGACTTGGCTTGCGATTGGTGATGTGGCAAATGGGGGATGTCTAAGAAACACAAAAAGAATCGTCAGAACTGGGATTGCTAATAACAAAGCACCAACCGTCGATATTTCTGGCGTGAATCATGCTAATGTTGTATCAATTGAAAATGATTTGATTGTTGTCGGGGAGATGAGATAGTGTAGTAGTATGCATTAGAGAAAACATTTTTGAAGCATGGTGTGATATTCGTAGAGCTTTGGCAAACAAATGAAATTCGACGTGAAATTGATCCCTTTTTAAGTTGATAGGGCTATTATGTTTTGGATAATTTTGTTCTTGAATAATTATGTCGTTGTGGGAAGTGTAGCTTAGAGGGTAAACTTCTTGTTAATTTTGAAAGATGGAAGCCTATGTCAAATCTAGATCGTAACATAATTTCTTTTCTGGGTGGTTAAATTGGGGGTGAAGTGTTGCCTTTCCACCATTGGAAACAAGAGGTTTTTAAAAAAATTGCAGACTATTGTGGAGGTTTTGTGGATGTTGATTCAAGTACTCTGAATATGAAAAGTTTGTCCATGGTTAAATTAAAGGTGAAAAGAGTATAGTTGGAAATTATTCCGTCAACTCTGGATGTTAATCTTCAAGAGAAAGTTTACCTGCTCAAAAGTTAAAGCTATTTCGAGGCTTGTGGATAAAGATTGGAAAGTTTGAAAGAGGAGTCTAGAAGGTAGCACGAATTTTTCTTCCACTGGTCGAGAGGTTGAAGAAGGTCGGTTAGGTCACTTGAGATTACGTGGAGCAAAAGAGGTTGAGGTTTCACAGATATTTTCTAAGGCTAAAGGTAACATTAAGGTGCCTGGACAAGAGGTAGATGGAAAGGAGAAGGTCATTGGACCGAGATTATTGGAAAATAAATCTCCATTAATTGCTTAGTGGTTTAGGGTGGGAGACGAAAACTTAGTAGTTGCGAAGAGGTTATTAGGCAGTGAGGGTGGAGTGGATAAGGAAGGTTTGTTTGACGAAGCAAGTTGGGTTTGTATGAGGGATTTTCTTGTGAAAATGGATCTTTCATTAGTTTCTAATTGGAAAAAAGGCAAGAAAAATAGTAAAAACAATGGAGTATCAAGGAACAAAGGCTTGAGGGAGTTAAAAAATTTAGAGTCTAAAGTCAATTATTAAAGGAATTATCATAGGAGAGATGAAGAGGGAGAGTTAGTTGTTTTATGAAGATTTAAGTTGGAATATGTGTGGATTAGGGAAGAGGAAGAAACGTAGTTCCATTAAGGAGGTTTTAATTAAGGTTGATCCGGATATTGTGGTGTTGTAGGAGACTAAGAGGGAAGTGATTGACAAAAGAATAGTGTTTAACATCTAGGGAGTTAGATATAAAAATTGTGCTTCCTTACCGGCATGTGAAAAATCAAGATAGTTAGTTATAATATGGGATGTGAGGGTAGTGTCTACCTTAGAGTTGTTGCGGGTAAGGATCAAAATTTTGTTTTGGTGGATTGTTTCGGTCACCTAGGAAAAAAAAAGGTTTCGACGTATTTTGGAAACATTTCGACCAATTTCGAAAACAGAATTTTAAAAAATAAAAAAATTAAAAATTATTTTTTCAAAACATTGGTTGAAATATACTAAAATATCTTGAAGTACCTTAAAATATTCTAAAATAATTGTGCAAATACATTGAAATATAACAAAATATTTCGAAACATTATGGAATACTTCGAAGTATTAAAATTTCGATTCTATCACTGATTCGTTTTGGTTTTCTTGGAAACAAAAACGTTAATGTTTCGCATGTTTCGACCGTTTCAATCCAGTTCATTTTAGGATGCAGGATGGTTTGGAGTGGTGGTTGTCTGGGGTCTATGGTCCAAATAATATTAGATTAAGGAAATATTTTTTTGGAGGAATTAGTGGATCTCAATGATTTATGCAGAGCCCAATGGTGTTTGGGGGGTGATTTTAATGTGGTGAGATATGTGTCTGAAAAGTCATCAGGGGGCAAAATAATTAGAAGTATTCGTGATTTTAATGTTTTGATTAAGGAAACTAGTTTGAGAGATCCTCTTTTAGGTAATGCATTATACACTTGGACCAATTTGAGGGAGAATATTGATTGTTGCAGACTGGATAGGTTTTTATTTTCACCAGAATGGGAGGAATGTTTTTCTAATCATTTTCCTATTGTTTTAGATTCGAATGCTTTTAAGTGGGGACCGATTCCTTTTAGATTTAAGCATATGTGATTGGAGCATCGTAGTTTTAAGAAACATTTTCGGGGTTGGTGGCAAGATAGTGTGGCTCAAGGATGGGAGGGGTTTAAATTTATGAAAAATTTAGAAATGGTAAGATAGAAAGTCAGGGTTTGGAATAGAGAAGTTGTTTGGTGATGTGAGGCTTGAAAGGGGTATGTTTTGAATCGTATTTCTAAATTTGATAGCTTGAAAGTGGTGAGAGAATTAGATGAGTTGGTGAGATGCGAGAAATTGGAGTTGAAGAATAAGTTTGAGGTAAGATGAAAACTTATGACTTGTTGCAAAAGAGAGGGCCTGACACATTTCTTTCCTCCAATTGGTGTATTTTGTTTAAGGAAAGTAGTGAAATATTGATCATTTGTTCTTGGATTGTTGTATTGCAATTTTTTTGTGGCATAAACTTTTGTGGGAGGTGGATTTGCAATGGTAACGCCAAGTGGTTGTATATCCTTATTTTTGGTAAATTTTGGTGATTTGGGGGGTGAGATAAAAATTTTAAATTTGTGGAGATGTGTCATTTTGACTATTTTTTGGGTTGTGGGGATGAAGAGGAATAACAGAATCTTTGAAGGGAAGGAGGAAAAAATGAGTTGTTGTGGAATGTAGGGATAGGGTGAAGTTTTTAGCATCTGATAGAGATCAAAAAGAGATTGTTTGAACTTAAATTTAATAATTGAATTTTATTATTTATTTTATTATTCTTTTATTAGTTAGGAAATATTTGTTTGACTGGAAATATTAATTAGAGTTTGACTAGGAAATTATTATAGAGTTTTATTAGAATAGGGATTTGAGAGTTTGATTATGAAACTCTTTTAGAATTTTAGTAGGAGAATAGTTTTTATTTTGATAGGAAACTTAGCATATAAATAATGGTATAATCCCAACTATTTTTATTAGAGAGTGATATAATAAAAACTTGTTTCTCTGTGAAGAATTATGTGTATTTCTTGACCGATTCTTTGCGAGGATGAGGTAAATCCCTTACACTCCTTTTTTCTTCTTCTCTTTTTATTATCTGATTTCTAGTCTTTCCCGTCTTACATCAGCATCATCATAGACAAAGGTTTCAAATGAGTTCAAGGACATTACTCTTTCAATTTTCCAACAAAATTAGAAAGCCGTTTGTAGTTGACGTTTCTTTTTTGGTTTTTTTAGTTTTTCTTTTTGATATTGAGTGGATTTCTTATCCACCATTTATTTAATTTTTCATCTTTCAATGAAATGAAAAGTGTAGTTTTTTATCCAAAAAAAATAAAAATAAAGGCTTGTTGTATCTATGTTTCATGCAAGGATCAAAATATCGTTTTGAAACGGTCGAAACATTCGAAATGTTTCCGTTTCCGAGGAGACCGAAACGAATCTGTTATGAAATCGAAATTCTAATACTTCAAGGTATTTCATAATGTTTAGAAATATTTTGTTATATTTCAATGCATTTGCACAATTATTTCGGAATATTTTAAAGTATTTCAAGATTTTTTAATATATTTTGACCAATGTTTTGAAAAAATAATTCTTAAATTTTTATTATTTTTCATTATGTTTTCGAAACAGGTTGAAACGTTTCTAAAATATGTCGAAACGTTTTCATTTTTAGGTGATCGAAACAATGCACCGAAACGAAATTTTGATCCTTGGTTCTATGGGACGTATATTGGATCAAATAAGTTTTCAGGTTGGTGTTTATGCGGTCTTCAATGTGTTAAAGAATAGTCCCAAATTGAAAGTGTTCTAGTTTCCTAACTTTGGAGTCATAGTCATAGATTAAAGTTTCAGCAGCCTATTTAAATTCATTTATTCTTTTCTTCTACTATTTCTTTTAAATATCATCTACATGCAATGGGACCTTATAACCATCTGTTTCCTACCATACATCCTTGTTTTATGAAACCAAACACTTTCCATCATTAGAGACTCTATCCTATCAACCAAAAGACCCAAGAACACCAAAAACACTCCTCTCGGGTTATTATTCACATCCCTAGGACAGCCCACTGCCCACCTTTCAATCCTGAAACGTTAACATATGGATCCTTAATCAGCC